CGCACACTCACACACACACACACACACACGCACACTCACACGCACACTCACACACACACACACACACACACACACACACACACACAGAGTGCTAATGTTGAGGTGTGCATTGCGAGCTCAGTGTTGTTGATTTCAGAGCCTCCGATCGGTCAGATGCGGCCGCCGCATGGCAGCGTGACGCCGCAGAAGAACAGCAACCTGCTGGTGATCATCGTTGTTTCTGTGGGAGCCGTGACTGTGGTGGTGGTGGTGATCGTCGCCCTGATCTGCACCCGCCGCTCATCCGCACAGCAGAGGAAGTGAGTTTGTTGGTATAATATAACATACGTAACATAGTTGTATTACATATTTGTAAGTCACTTTAAATGCTGTAAAAGTGTCTGCTAATTAATTTAACTTAATATATAATAGGGATGGAACAATTACGGGTTTGACGATAAATCGTGATAAAATTCCCCACAGTTAGTATTACCGTTTCATATTTGAATTATCATTAAAATTGTATCCGATTACTGCGATTTGAACAACTGAGGATAAATAAATACTGTCCAACATAAAGCAAAGTATTAAATAGCAGTCTCAGGTGCGCACAGCAGCAGAGTAGTGTCGTTTTGTGTTGTCGTGTGCACTAATGTGTGTGCATGCGTCTATGAAAGCAGCGTAGCCTAGGCTACTGCATATAGTTTTAGTTTAGGTATAAGCCCGACCCGAACCCGAAGCTATTCATTAAACATTAACCCGAACCCGACCCGAAACCCGAAAGTATTTCGGGACCCGTCGGGCTCGGGTCGGGTAGCAGACCTCTAGTCTATATTGATGTACCTCTGAAGGTTCTGGCTGTCTTCAGAAGAGATTCGATGGCATTTTGTTGTCATCTTCACTCAATGTTACGGGAACGTTACGGAAAAACAGCTGTAATTCTGCTGCTCCATAAGCGCCACCTGCTGTCATTGAGTGGATTTACAGAGACTTACGTTCACATTCAGCCTGTGTGCAGTTTCTGTCTGGACTAAAAACGACCGGATTTGCATGCCCTGCTGTGAATTTTGACCTGTTTATGAAAAACTGTTTATGTGGATTCTACACTTTTCAAACAATTCGGATAAGGTATCTAGAATTATTTATGGAGCAGATAAAATACATGTAATTATTTATTAATCAGTTATCATTTTGACTTAGCCCTTTTCTTTATTTAAAGGCTGAGATGTGAGGTTTACCATTTTATGAAACGTTTTCAAAGCTTTATTTGATCATTTCGTACATGCTATTCAGTCATGTTGTCATTTAAAATCCGGACATCTTTGGTAATGTTATAGTTTTAGTGTTTATGCAACAAAAAAGTATTTTTTTTAATTGTTTGTCAACTTTAAATACAAAACTTGCTTAAATGATTTTTAATTTCTTGCTGAGAAATGTTCATACCGTTACGTTTCTAATATATAATATAATGTGTCAGTTTTTGACTCTTTCCCTGCCAGCATTTTTTGAAAAAGTTGCCAGTCACCACCAGCATTTTTTATCATTTTCCAAAACTTTCATGGCCCATGAAATATTTTGTTGTGTTAATATCTGAACATACAATATGCTTCTGCTTAAAAAAAAAATTCTAGTTTTATGCACACTTTTTTAATCAACACTTAAATGTGGGTAAGTTCCATTTTTAAAAAAGCATAATTTTGATCAAAAAGCCAAGAAAATTGTGTTTTTGTCATAACTACATCTGGATCAGTTTCAAAGCGATGATCAAAACCTAGATAGACTCGATCACTTCCATCAACACATTCAAAAGCTTCACAGTCATAAACCACTTCCTGTCGACATTTCATTCAGTATGTTTTCATTTATATGCTGTTTAATACTTGATGATCGCGTTATTTTACATATGCATCTGATTACACGATCACTTGTTTCTGCTTCTTCTTCACCCTGGTTTTGATCCAGAGATTCAGTACTCTATCAGAAGATGTGTAATAGCGCCCCCTACCGCATAACAGTGAAAACACAGAAAGCCTGAAAATTCCGTCAGTGGCGGGGAAAGAGTTAACAGGCATGAGTTACACTAAAGAATAGTGATGAGTGACACACGTGTGACATCATCAGTGTTTCTAATGATGATATTAACCAGCTGAAGTGTGTTCTAGATAAGAATGTGTGAGACTGTGTCTGTGTGAAGGTGAGATGCCACAAGTTCAGACCTCATTAGCACCTGCCACACACACACACACACACACACACACTTCAAAACAGTTCAGTCTGAAAGCGACTTATAAATGAGGAAAATAGAAGCAATCAAAACCAACAAAATAGCAATGATATGCAAGTGCTATAACAAGTCTCAGTTAGCTTAACACTGTACACATAGCAGTTTTTTTATTATATAATAAATAAAAAGAAAACAAATAAATAGAATACAAAAAGATTAGAGAAGCTAGTGTTAGGGTTTTTTTTTCTGGGATTGAGTTGGGCAGGTCATTCCACCAGGAGGGAACAGTTCATGTAAGAGTCTCATTAAAAATGTATATTGCTGCCGCATTCTGGATTAATTGTAGAGGTTTGATAGAAGTGGCTGGAAGACCTGCCAAGAGAGCATTGCAATAGTCCAGCCTGGACAGAACAAGAGCTTGAACAAGAAGTTGTGAAGCATGTTCCGAAAGAAAGGGCCTGATCTTCCTGATGTTGTATAAAGCAAATCTGCAGGACCGGACAGTTTTAGCAATGTGGTCTGAGAAATTCAGCATATCATCAATCACAACTCCAAGGTTTCTAGCTGTTTTTGAAGGAGTTATGGTTGATGAGCCTAACTGGATGGGGAAATTGTGATGAAACCACAAGCAGTTCTTTCTTAGCCAGGTTGAGTTGAAGGTGATGGTCCTTCATCCAGCAAGAAATGTCTGTTAGACAAGCTGAGATGCGAGCAGCTATCGTCGGATCATCAGGATGGAATGAGAGGTAGAGTTGAGCAGTAATGTGAGAATAACTCTAGAGAGAAAAAGGAAAGACACTTTTGAATAACATTTCCTATGCATTTTTTGTCACAGCCAGTTGTTGGAGTGTCCAGCTTAGCCACCAGAGGGCACTCTTTTTATATCATTGTTTGTGTGTTCTGAACTGCGTTTCCCATAACCCTTTGCACTCATTATTTAGTTCATTACTGCCAGCTGTTTATCATTGACTCATTAGCCTAACCCTATATATATATACCTTGTTCATTTTGTCTTTAGTTGCATCAGTATTGCATTTTGTTCCTATCTTTGTTTTCTGTTTTTGCTCATGTGGATTATGTTTTTTGGACTCTGAGAATAAAACAGCGAATGGATATTTTGTGTGAGCATTCCGTGACATTTTTATAGCAGATCTATTCCGCCAAGACCAAATACATTAACATTGTCATATCCATCACCATGCTAAAATCTTCCAAGAGTTGTCATGATTGAAATCCTCAAAAATGTCATCTTCCAAGTCCTCAGATTCTCCGGCAGGTTTAACTACGCCAGGCTTGAAATCTTTGACTGAATGTGGATTATGCTCTCTGTTCCCGTGAGACTGATAAGTTGCATATTTATTTTTATAGTAGATTTGGTGAAGTGCACATTTGGTATACAGTGCACGATCCAGCAAGATAAGTATAGAAGATTTGGAAGCCGCTCTTGCCAGTCTTAGGGCTTTAACAACTGAGAGCAAGGCAGTTCAGTCAAATTTCCACTTCTGAAGCCAGATTGGTTGCTGTCCAGGAGGTTGTTCTGTGTGAGAAAGGCAGAGACTTGGTTGAACACAGCTCGTTCAAGTGTTTTTGCAATGAAAGGTAGAAGGGAAACCGGTTTGTAGTTCTCTAAAAGAGTTGGGTTAAGAGTGGGTTTCTTAAGTAGTGGGGTTATACAAGCCTGTCTAAATGCTGAGGGAAAAACACCAGTGTGAAGGGATGTGTTAACGATGTTAGTGAGTGCAGGTACAACGGCAGGAGAAATGGCTTGAAGGAGATTAGATGGAATAGGATCAAGCGGACAAGTAATAGGATGATTAGAATGGATGAGTTTGGAGACTTTCTTTTTAAAACATAATATAATATCATATAATATATCTCTGTGTTCCTGTAGGAAACGTGCGACACACAGCGCTGGGAAACGAAAGGGCAGCCAGAAAGATCTGCGACCTCCTGACCTCTGGATCCATCATGAGGAGATGGAGCTAAAGAACATAGAGAAGCCCTCGAGCTCCGCCCCCTCCGGCCACGAGTCGCCAATCCAGAGCTGCCAGGAGATGGCGCCGGTCAGCCACAGCCAATCAGAGAGCCAGATGGGCAGCAAGAGCAGCCACTCAGGTGAGGCCTTCATTGATTCGACCGCGAGCGTGTGTGCGTGTGAGTGTCAGCGGCTGAAGGTCATGTTGTTCTCTTCTTCAGGTGCAGACGGGGATGATGCTTCCAGCAGCATTTCCACATTAGAGCGATCGCTAGCCGCCCGCCGGGCCACGCGCACCAAGATGATGATTCCCATGGACTCTCAGCCCAGCAACACACGTGAGCCACTGCATTCAAACATTTAACACCTGTTTACAACAAAAATCATTACTACTGTGATAACTATAGATATAAATATAACTGTAATTACAACGAGAATAATAACCCTAACTAGAATCATAACTATAACAATAGCAAGAACTATACCAAAAAAAATAACAATACCTATAACTATAACAATATCAAATAACTATAACTTCAACGATAATGGTAACAACAACTATAACTAGAGCGTAAACAGTCATATTAAACACAGCAATAACTATAACCATAACTGTAACAACAGATATAACTATAATTGCAACAGTAGAGATAACAATAACTAGAACCATGACTATAACCGTTTTTAGTTATAATGATAGCTATAATAATAACTGCAAAGATAACGATGTTGGTAACTATAACTATAACCATAACTTAAGCAATAACGATAGCCATAATGATAACTATGACAATAACAATAACTGATATAAAATTAATGATAATGATAACTTTAAATATAACCAAAACTTCAACAAGAACTATAACTTTAACAGTAACTATAGCAATAACGAAAACTAATGTTAACATATACCTATAACTACAATGATAACTATAAAAGTAACTATAGCAATTACGATAACTATAACAATAGTAATGGCAATCATGAAAATGGTAAACATAACTATAACTAACTGCAATAATAATAACACGGTAACTATAATCAATAACTATAGCGATAGCTATAACAATAACTAAATATAACTATAACAATGAAATTACTTTATAACCATAACTTTAACAAATACGCTATGACAATAACAGTAACTACAGCAATAATGATAACTATAATGATAGCAATAACTATAACCATATCCGATAACAATAATGATAACTATTACCATATCTATAACAAAAACGATAACAATGATTATACCAATATCTATAACAGTAACAATCGGTTTTTATTCTAAGCATTCTGCAGGTTTTTGTTGTCTGTCGCTTTAAATAAGGAAGTCAGGTGGATTCTCAACGTTTTTTGTTGCCGTTAAAAAACTTTCTAATAGTGATTCCAGTGATATTGCTCCTCTGTGTCATTGTCATTATAGGTGTGATGCAGACTCTGCTGTTCTCTTTGAGTGAGATTGAAACATTGTGGTTATATAGTTATCGTTGTTGCTGTGAACGGCCCTTCGGTGTGTTTTAGACCTGATAGTGACAGACTGAGCTCCTCCATTATGATCACACGCTGACCTCATTTATGACTCTGAGCAGAGAGACGGATCCCAACAATAAGCCCTGAAATCACAGGCAGAAGATGCTTTTCTGAAGCTGACTCTGCAGAAGTCACAGTGTGATTCACACACGGAAGGAATTGAGGCAGAAATGGGATTTCCAGCAGTTATTCAGTGCTGTGTGTGACCCTGATTTCCTAATCCAGTTCACCCAGTTCAGCCCAAACCAGCAGAGAGACTAGCGTGTGCGTTCTTGAAGTGTGTCTGCGTGTGAAAGGAGGAGAAGCCAGTGAATGTTATGTGAATATGAGCCGGATGTCTTATTGAAAGGGTTTGTTGCATGTGTGTTTTGGGTGAAGATCGTCACGGGCTTTGGTTCTTCATGTGATGTGACGTGCTCCTCGCAGACGTTTCGCTCGGCTGCGTCTGATTCTCGCCGGGGTTTGAGCTGCGTCAGTCGCGTGAGCGTCTCCTCTCTGACCTCCTGTCGCGATTCCTCACCCCGCCCTATCCTGCCATTTATTATGCACCTCCTTCCTGCTCCCAAACCACATGAAAGAAGCTTCATCTCCTCCTCTGGGAACAGAAAGCACGGATTGGGAAAAATGGCGATCGCTGGAAGGATGTGGAGCTTTGAGAGGAATAAGAGGGTGGGATACGAAAGTCACGAGTGAAAGAGTTCCGATAGAAGAAACTAATCGCTGCATAATTAACAAAGTTACTCTAACGAGACCCTCTGATGAAGAGAAACTGTATGTAGATGCTCTTCACACAAACCATGATCAGTTCTTCATTTTATTTGGATCTGGATGAACTCAAAGCAAAAGATCAGGTATTAACTGTAATGATAGCTATAACACTAACAATAGCTATAACTTTAACACGAGCTATAACAATAATGTTCATGATAACATAACTGTAACAATAAGTATAGCTATAAATATAATCATGACAATTACTACAATAGTAACTATAACTTTAACCATAATTGTAATAATAACTATAGCTATAACTATAATGATAACTTTAACAGTAACTATAGCAATTACGATTACTATAACGACAATTATCCATAATTTTAACAATAACTATAGCTATAAATATAATGATAACTATAGCAAATACGATAACTATAATGACAGCAGTAATAACCATAAGTATAACCATAGATACAACAATAAAAACAATGACTATAGCTGTATTTGCTACTGTAACTATAAGAATAACTATAGCTATAACTATAATGATAACGATAACTACAATAATAACAATAAGTAAATAACTTTACCAATAACGATTACTATAGCTATAAATATAATAATAACTCAGCAGTATCTAAAGCAATAGCATTTAACAATCTTTTTGCTCTTGTACCGACAAATACATACAAAATTATGTCAAAAAAACTGAAAATCCCCGAAAAAACTGTCTGTTATGTCTTAAGTGAAAGTAAACAGTGGAGAATTAGATCGGATTTGTATCATTATAATGGATGCATTGTCTCTTAAAGTGACCGCGCCTAATTTACTAGCTGCTGTAATGTTGTCTGAATTTTTGGTTGATTGTAACCCATTACATACCTTTCTATCAAAGTTATCTGACATTATCAAGATGAATTTGTTCTAACACAGTTTAACTCCGAGTTCTTGTCATATTTTATTACCAATTTCTAAACTACAGCAAATAAACTGTGATAATGTGAGAAATGTTGAAGGGGTCTGAATACATTTTGGTTTGACTGTATATTTAATTTTTACAGTGAAGACTATGCAGTGCTATTTTGCATTTGATTATTCGTTTTCTGCACCTGGACACCTACAAACTTGAAAAAATGTAAACATTGTGTAAATATCACAAATGATATAATACACAAAATAATAATATCCCTGGTGATTAGCAGATAATCACAGATTGATTTACAAACCTCACATGTAAATGCAGAAGATGAAAATGAAGATGTTAAATGTGCATGTGTATAAAAACATGCATTTGTAGGTTGTAATGAAGATGTTGTGTTATTGTCGTGGCAGTTAGCTGCTGGTGAGTTCAGGGTTTCTATCCTGAGACATTTGGATGCAAACAATGTAGGCAGAACTCTTTCTCAAAGAGAGAGAGAGCTTGCAGTCAATCAGCAGCTGCTCGTCTGGGGCAGTTTAGTAGATAGAAATCTCAACACTTCAGGCAATTTCTCAGTCTTGTCTCTCTCTGTGAGGTTTTCCATGTCAAGGTCAGCGCTCTTGTGCTCTGGTGAAGCTGTAGTTCTACAGTAGTGTACTCTTACTGCGTTTTACTGCATCATCATCATCATCATCATCACTCGTGTACTGTATCCTGATGTTGTTTTGTTCAGAGGTTGTTGAATGAGTCCGTGTGGATTCCTCTTCTGCTTCTGATGGGATTCTGCTGCGTTCGATGGATCGCTGTTATTGAGGAGTTTAAAACAGACTAATGGGGGTCCACATTTTGCTTGCAAGAGTCTGAATTCTAAACACTTTTCCTCTTGTAGGTGTTTAAATATTTAAACATGATTAATGATTGAAACGAATCGCCCGAATAGATCGGCCTCGGTTAGCAGATTACCGTCCGCTGCACTTCTGCAGCCGGCCAGAAAGGCTCCTAAAACAGATCTGGTTCATTTCTGATGTCTGTGTTTGTGGTGAGATGCCGTGTGTTTCTGACACATGTGTGTGTGTGTGTGTGTTGTTTCTGTGTGTTCCAGCGGTGGTCAGTGCCATCCCGGTGCCCACGCTGGACAGCAGTCAGTATCCGGGCATCCTGCCGTCGCCCACCTGCGGATTCACCACACACCCCAAATTCACCCTGCGGCCCATGCCTTTCTCCACTCTGAGCGTCGACCGCAGTTATGCTGCCGGTAACTCACCTGTCTGTCTGTCTGTCTGTCTGTCTGTCTGTCTGTCTGTCTCTATCTATCTGTCTGTCTGTCTGTTTCTATCTATCTATCTATCTGTCTGTCTGTCTGTCTGTCTCTATCTATCTGTCTGTCTGTCTGTATCATCTATCTATCTATCTGTCTGTCTGTCTGTCCGTCTGTTTGTCTCTCTGTCTTTGTATCTGTCTGTCTGTCTCTATCTATCTATCTATCTATCTATCTATCTATCTATCTATCTATGTCTGTCTGTCTGTCTCTATCTATCTGTCTGTCTGTCTGTTTCTATCTGTCTGTCTGTCTATCTGTCTGTCTGTCTATCTGTCTGTCATTCGTTATATTGTTCGTTATACCTATCTATTGTTCGTTATATTGTTCGTTATACCTATCTATTGTTAGTTATATCTATCTCTCATTCGTTATGTTGTTCGTTATATCTTTATGTTGTTTGTTATATTGTTTGTAAAATCTATTTGTCATATCTATTGTTTTTATCGTTTTTTTATATCTATTTATCTGTTGTTTGTTATATTTTAATTATATCTATCATTTGTTATATATTTATCTATTGTTCGTTCGGTCTATCTGTCATTCATTCTGGTGTTTGTTATATCTATCAATATATCTATCTAGCAAATAACATGTTGAAAAAAAAACGTAAAATTTTGAAGTAAAAAGACAGAAAGAAATGGTATTATCCTATAAACCATATTCCAAAAATCTTTTATTTATAACTTCAAAAAATAGTTTTTTTTAGAGTGTAGCAGTATTTAAGAGTAGCTTTTACTACATCACCACACGCTGTTTAGAGACGAGGCGGCACTGAATGGAGCAGCTCCTCCTGCTGATTCAGTCTCCGCTTTAAATGAGTTTGTTAGCAGCAGAAGAAATTGATTTGATTTGGTCCTTTGGCAGCAGCTGCGAGTCTCTTTGCATCAAATGACGTTTTCAAAGCGTCTCTTAGTGAGCACGTAACAGGCATCTGCACAAACTACGGCTCTGAGCTAGAGAAGTTCAACCGAGACTTTGAGCGTTCGTGGCTACTGATGCAAACGAAATACCGGCTGAACGCTGCGGTGACTGACTTCAGTTAATACAAAAATTCTAACTTAGTTTTCAAATGACCAGGACACTCATACTTTTAATAGACTTTGGCGAACTCTCAGTATCAGCATGCCAACTGCATCTGAATGAATTACAGTGAAATGGAATGGAATGAGTCGCGCCGAATTCTAATAAACCCAGATGCATTGCATTCATGAGAATATTTTTGCATAATAGTAATGAGAATGTGCTTAATTATAACAAGATGAAAAAAGTCACATTTTTCAGATGTATCATTCCACATTTATTTCTGTAGCACTTTATGCAATACACATTAAAAAAAAAAAGCAGCTTCACAGTAATAAACTATTTTTTAATTTATTTCTCAAGCACAGCAGCTGCTGACCAAAGTACTGTAGACATAGACAATAAAATACAAAAACTAACAAGGAAATCCAACACAATAAAATAGATAAACTAATAAGAGAGCACACTGATTAGTAAAGCTACATTGATCCAAAAGCCAGAGGAAAAAACGATGTCTTCAGTGAGGATTTAAAACGATCAACATCAGAAGACAGTCTAACGTGTAATGTGTAGGAAAATAACAGTGTTTATGTTGCAAAACTCATCATAAATAATTTTAAGTCACTCTGGATAAAATGGTTAAATGATTACATTTCAGCTCTACAGAAGGCAATAGTGTCATTATTCAGATTAATTCAGTTCAAGTTTTCATCTCATCCTAAAAAAAAGCAGCTTCACAGTAATAAACAATTTTTTTTATTTATTTCTCAAGCACAGCAGCTGCTGACCAAAGTACTGTAGACATAGACAGTAAAATACAAAAACTAACAAGGAAATCCAACACAATAAAATAGATAAACTAATAAGAGAGCACACTGATTAGTAAAGCTACATTGATCCAAAAGCCAGAGAAAAAAACGATGTCTTCAGTGAGGATTTAAAACGATCAACATCAGAAGACAGTCTAACGTGTAATGTGTAGGAAAATAACAGTGTTTATGTTGCAAAACTCATCATAAATAATTTTAAGTCACTCTGGATAAAATGGTTAAATGATTAAATTTCAGCTCTACAGAAGGCAATAGTGTCATTATTCAGATTAATTCAGTTCAAGTTTTCATCTCATCCGATTGCAGTTAAATCAGTATTACTGAATATTGTCTTTTAAACCACAAAATATAATATATTATTTTCTTTCAGATAAAAAAAACAAACTCTGGACGTGATCATATGGGATTCACTGAAACACCGTCAACTAGTTTGAAATTGAAATGCATCAAATCTTCATGTGATCGGCTGCTGTCTGGCTCTCTTTTGCATGAAGTTCAGCTTTCTCCAATCGTTGTGTGTTTGTGTGTTTTTCTCAGCGATGTCAGCAGAGGGCGCCGCTCCAATGGCCCCGCAGCAGCCGCAGGCGCTGATTCCCACGGCGCAGTCGGAGCCGTCGGGGTCGGAAGAGATTCCCAGCCGCACCATCCCGACCGCTTGTGTGCGGCCCACGCATCCCCTGCGCAGCTTCACCAACCCGCTCCTGCCTCCACCCATGAGCACCATCGAGCCCAAGGTCTACACGCCCATGACAGGTACAGCTCCATCAGTCATCTTAGTGTCTGCTTTTATTCAGTAAATCACTGCACTCTTAAACATAAAGAGATGAAAGAGAGAGAACAGAGCTGCCCAAGCTAGCTGGCCCCTGATGACCGCTGATTTGCCTGCGATGCCAGATCACAAGAATGGAGGAAAACAATTTTAAAAAACATGGCACTATTTCTAATTGATATTTATGTACATACATCTTTTTTTTTATATAAGATTGAAATGTTACAAAACAATATAAGAGAATTTGATTTAAAATATTTTTTTTAATTGTTATTTTTAAATAATGTAAAAAAAAAATTAGTTTCAAAATATTTCTTTAAAATATCATGTAAATGTAACAATATTTGTGAATTTGATTTAAAATATTTTAAAAAATTTTACTTTTAAGTAATGTAAAACACTGTATAATTTAAAAATAATTTTTAAAAATGTTATTTAAATTTTTGTGTAAATATATATATATATATATAACATTTTAATATAATATCATTGGATATTTGTCCATATATATATCTTTTTTGCTTCCTCAAAAAACATTTCAATGAACAGTGCTTAAGAAAATAACATTTTAATAATCTGAAGAACCTTTCTCCATTTTAAATAAACTTTTGTGCATCAGAAAGTGTCTTACTCTTTAAAATAAAGGTTCCAAAAGGTTGTTTTTTTTACAGTGATGCCATAGAACAACCATTTCTGGTTCCCTAAAGTCTGGTTCTATAGCGCTTTATACAATACGGATTGTGTCGAAGCAGCTTTACAGTGTTAAACAGGAAAATAGTGTGTCAATAATGCAGGAGGACAATAGTAAACAGTCAGTTTTCCAGTTAAAGTCACTTCATTGTTGATTCAGTGATGTCCTCGTCCAGCTCTGTCCTCTTCAAATAGTGTCTGAGCAATCAAGTGACAATACTGCCAGAAATTAAGTGTCCCCAATTAAGCAAGTGTTAAGCTCCATCGGTGACAGAAATGGAGAAACCAAGCTTTCAGTGATCAGTTCCAAAAAGAACCATGTTTTCTTAGTGTGAAGTACATTTTAATAATCTGAAGAACCTTTTTCCACTATAAAGCCTCTTTTGTGCAATGGAAATATTCATGGATGTTAAAGGTTCCTCATGGAGCATCAATACCAATAAAGTGTAGGTTGTGCTGGTTGTGTGAATATGGGCGATGGAGATGTAGAATCAGGAGCGGGAATCTGTTGGGTTGTGTTGTGCTGTCTGTAGCCAGAGGCGGAGACGGTGGAGATGTGAAGCTGTATCTGCTGTGAGTCTGGAGTCTCAGGGTCTCTCGGTGGGAATCAGTGAATAAAGTGCTTGGTTTGTGTGTGTGTGTTGAGTTCCCATCGGTGGCTGTATTGTTCATCGATTGCAGACATCATAACAGTGTGGAAACACTCTCAAACGCACACAAACACTGACGCTCCAGGGCTTCTGCTTCCTCAGAGGAGATCTGACTTTCTGGGTCTTCAGTCCTCATTGCAGCGCTGCAGCAGGTATTCGGAGACAGACGCAGCAGCTCATGTTTCCCCCGCAGTTAGGATTTAATTGGTTCTGCTCAAACCGTTTCGTGTATGTGGGGCTCCAGATGCTTTTCCATTAAGCTTGAGAATGGAGTCTGAATGGACACTCTTTCTGCTCAGATGTTCGACAGGCATCCGATTATATCTATCTATCTATCTATCTATCTATCTATCTATCTATCTAGCTATCGTTAGTTAGTGAGTTAGTTAGTTAGTTAGTAGGTTAGTTATATCTATCTATCTATCTAGCTATCGTTAGTTAGTGAGTTAGTTAGTTAGTTAGTAGGTTAGTTATATCTATCTATCTATCTAGCTATCGTTAGTTAGTGAGTTAGTTAGTTAGTTAGTAGGTTAGTTATATCTATCTATCTATCTAGCTATCGTTAGTTAGTTAGTTAGTAGGTTAGTTATATCTATCTATCATCTATCTGTCTATCATTAGTTCTATCTATATATCTATCTATCTTAACTATCGTTAGTTAGTTAGTTAGTTAGTTAGTTAGTTAGTAGGTTAGTTATATCTATCTATCTATCATTAGTTCTATCTATCTAACTATCGTTAGTTAGTTAGTTAGTAGGTTAGTTATATCTGTCTATCTATCATTAGTTCTATCTATCTATCTAACTATCATTAGTTAGTTAGTAGGTTAGTTATATCGATCGATCTATCTATCATCTGTCTGTCTGTTTTTCTGTCTGTCTGTCGTTAATTAGTTAGTTAGTTAGTAGGTTCTATCTATCTATCTATCGTTAGTTAGTTAGTAGGTTCTAGCGATCTATTGTCCGTTAGTTAATTAGTTAGTTAGGTATTTAGTTAGTTAGTAGGTTAGTTCTATCTATCTATTGTTCGTTAGTTAATTAGTTAGTTAGTTATTTAGTTAGTTAGTAGGTTAGTTCTATCTATCTATTGTTAGTTAGTTAGTTAGTTAGTTAATTAGTTAGTTAGTTAGTAGGTTAGTTCTATCAATTTATCTATCATCTATCTATCGTCTGTCTGTCGTTAATTAGTTAGTTAGTTAGTTAGTTAGTTAGTTAGTAGGTTAGTTCTATCTATCGTTTGTTAGTTAGTAGGTTAGTTCTATCTATCTATTGTTCGTTAGTTAATTAGTTAGTTAGTTATTTAGTTAGTTAGTAGGTTATTTCTATATATTGATAGTTAGTTAGTTAGTTAGTTAATTAGTTAGTTAGTTAGTAGGTTAGTTCTATCAATTTATCTATCATCTATCTATCGTCTGTCTGTCGTTAATTAGTTAGTTAGTTAGTTAGTTAGTAGGTTAGTTCTATCTATCGAGTTGAAATGTGACCCTTAATATGGTTTTGAAGAAAATGAAGCTTACTTTAAGGCCAGTAGGATTTTTTTACATTATTTTCATGATAAATATTTCCGTTGTTATATGTGACTCCGTGTTTAAGGAGCTTCTCATTTATGTTTCTCATTAGATTCTCATTGTTGTTGTATAATACTTTACCATTTTGTAGTGCGTTTACTGTAATGCAAAGAAAAGGCTCTAAAAATAGTCATGCAAAATAAAAGCTTCATCTGGCTTTTTGCATTATGACATTATTTTCAAGTTCTTATTTATGCTTCTCGTTGTTGTAGGACAGCATTTTGTTTATTTAAATCAGCATTAATTAAATACAAATCAGCAAATACTACTAATATGTCTAAATACTTCACCCTTTGAATAATGCATCATCAATTAACCCTCAAATCCTCATTACTGTAATGCAAAGAAAAATAATGCACTGTCTCTTCATTTTCGTCGTGCAAAATGCAAAAACATGTTTCTTCTGGTTGGGGTTGAAATGTGACCCAGCCGTGTTTTTGATGGTTCTTCTGAGATTCCTCCGTGAACTGACCGATCTGTGTTTCAATCTAACGCTCGGCTCTCGTCGTGACCTCATTCCCGCTGAACGAGGAAGAAAGGTTATGAATTGCTATTGAAGATGTGTTCTCTAAAGCATCTACTAAGGGCTGGTTTGTCACGTCTCTGCGAGAGTTGAAGTTTGAATGAGATGTGCTCTGGCTCTCGGCTGGATCTGTGGCAGAAGTTAATGAGCGCTAATCATCTCTGGCCGAGCGACAAGAAGAGAAATGACAGCGATAATATCACTTACCACTCCAATGCACCTCTAAAAGAGGGAAAACCAGATCCTGCTGGACAAAACCAACCTAAAGTGGCAAACCCCCTTTAAACTGCTCAGGATACAAGTATCATACGTTTAGCAAACAGCCGGGGTGTTTGTATCGCTCTCTAATGGTCTGAAATTGCACGTTGAGTTGAAGAGTGATTAGCACGAGCGTTCACGAGCCGGCGAGTTGCAGTAGCAGCACGTACACGACCCATAAATTGCTTTACAGTTGACTGAAAATCCATATCTGAAAAAGATTGAGCAGTTAGCATGGTGCGAATGCTAACAAGCCCCTCCGGCGGTCTGGATCTCTCGGAGCCGTTGCACACATGAATGTCTTTTCTCATAATGTACTCATAATGGGGTTTTGTGATATTTTGGCTGCTCTGTTTTGCTTTTCTTTAGGGTAGTGAGAGTGTTGTGTTTTATGCACCTTACTGTATATTTAATGTAAGAGCGGCGCTTTGTTATTATTCCAGTTATTAACCCTTATGCATCCTTAGACAGATATATTTATTTATATATATATATATATATATATATACATATTATTAGGTTGGCTTGAGAAATAATAACATATCTTTTCAGACTGATCCGACTTATAGTTTTTATAAAACTGAACATTAAAAATCAGAAAAATCCCATTGACTTACACTGACGGAATGTTCAAATGAGCCAAGACTGTCAAAATTCAAATGTAAACACACTGAAGGCCATGAGACTAAATCAAGCTTCCCTTCTGTGTACTATTTCTAATCAATTTAGACTCATTCAATCCCATCTATCTAATATTTCTAATCTATCTATCTGACTTTCTTTCTATCTATCCTAGCGAGATGCTAATCATGCTAGAAACATACTAACAAAATGCTAGTAGCATGCTAATCATGCTAACAACATGCTAGTAACATGCTAATCATGCTAGTAACTTGTTAATCATGCTAGCAACATGCTAATCATGCTAGAAACATGCTAGCGAAATGCTAGTAATTTGCTAATCATGTTAGAAACATGCTAGTCACTTGCTAATAATGCTAGCAACATATTAGTATCATGTTAATCATGCTAGAAACATGCTAGCGACAATCTAGTAACTTGCTAATCATGCTAGAAACATGCTAGTTACTTGCTATTCATACTAGCAACATGCTAGTTACTTGCTAATCAGGCTAACAGCATGCTAGTAACATGCTAATCATGCTAGAAACATGCTAGCGACATGCTAGTAATTTGCTAATCATGCTAGAAACATGCTAGCGACATGCTAGTAACTTGGTAATCATGCTAGAAACATGCTAGCGACATGCTAGTAACTTGTTAATCATGCTAGAAACATGTTAGTCACTTGCTAATCATGCTAACAACATGCTAGTAACATGTTAATCATGCTAGAAACATGTTAGTCACTTGCTAATCATGCTAGAAACATGTTATCGACATGCTAGTAACTTGCTAATCATGCTAGGAACATGCTAGGAACTTGCTATTCAATGCTAGCAACATGCTAGTTTCTTGCTAATCATGCTAGCAAAATGTTAGTAACATGCTAATCATGCAAGAAACATGCTAGCGAAATGCTAGTAACATGCTAATCATGCCAGCAATATGCTAGTGACAGGCCAATCATGCTAAAAACATGCTAATCATGCTAGAAACAGGTTATCAGCATCTATCTAATCTAATTTTTCAAACTTCATGCTTTTACAGCTGCTTTAAACTTTCAGGCTAGGCTTTCTCAAGCTAACCTAGAGTTTGTCTGGACAAACTTTTTTATCCAGTTATTATTATCATTATTATTTGGCTGTGTTAATGCAAACCAGTGTTGTTTACTACTATAGTTTTTGTTAATGTTTTGAATTTCATTTTATTTTTATATTTTTTGTTTTCATGTTAATTTTAGTTAAAGTTTTTACTCATTTTGTTTTGTGTTTTTGTCATTATTATTAGTTTTTGTTTTAAATGTGTCTATATAGTGTTTATTAATGTTTTATTTAGTTTGCTATATTTTAGTACATTGTTAAACTAAATGAAAATAAGAAATGAAACTAGCTGAAATAAAGTGTTTAACGTTTTTTTGTTTTTGTTTTTTTAAACATTTGTTTTATTTCAAGTAACAGAAATGTTTTTTGTGGTTTTAGTTTAACTATAATAATGCAAACGGCATAAATTGTCAAAATGTGTATTTTTATTGGAATTTAAAAATTTCATAAATCTATTTTACACTAAAAAATGTGTTAAACTCAGGACCTTCAAGACAAAAATGATTCATTAAAATTAATATTGTTTCTAATCATTAACTTAATAATCCATTGACTGTAATTATCCAAAAAAATAAATACAAATAAAAAACCTGATTAGCGTTTAGTATATGGAAAATATAATATTTTTTCATACTTATTATGTAAACAAACTAAAGGCTTTAAAGGCTTAAAATTGTAGTTTTGGTAGTTATGATTATGACTAATATTGGTTAAAAGATCAGTGTGAGTTAAAATGAAAATAATTCTAATATATAATATTTTTATGACCATTTATTGTCACTTTTGTTTTCTAAGGACCTCTGTGTAACTTTTTTAATTGATGTACAAGGGTTAATGCATCAGAAGTCTTACTTCAGCATTGCAGATTAAGGATGCTTAAGGAGCTTAGATGATTTCTACATTAACAGTCAACAATAATTCTGCTGTCTAATCACTGCCACTGATAAAGCAGAAGAGCTTTTGGGGTTTTCTGACTCAAAGCGTCCGTTCCTGGAGCAGGTGCCGCCAATTTCTGCAGTTGAATTGCACTGCTAATGCTGAGCGCAGGTCTCTCATTAAGGTGGAGGAATGTGGGAGATTCTGGAAGCTTGTTATATGCATCCATCATCACAGTCCGTCAGTTCCCGCATCTTTAGAGAGAAAACTCACGGATGGGCAGGGATGCAATCAGCCCATCCATCTGTCCCGTCTCTCTCTCTCTCTCTCTCTCTGTCAGTCTGTGTCTCTCTCTCTCTCGTCTGGAGGCCTGTGTCTCTCTCTCTCTCGTCTGGAGGCCTGTGTCTCTCTCTCTCTCGTCTGGAGGCCTGTGTCTCTCTCTCTCTCGTCTGGAGGCCTGTGTCTCTCTCTCTCTCGTCTGGAGGCCTGTGTCTCTCTCTCTCTCGTCTGGAGGCCTGTGTCTCTCTCTCTCTCGTCTGGAGGCCTGTGTCTCTCTCTCTCTCGTCTGGAGGCCTGTGTCTCTCTCTCTCTCGTCTGGAGGCCTGTGTCTCTCTCTCTCTCGTCTGGAGGCCTGTGTCTCTCTCTCTCTCGTCTGGAGGCCTGTGTCTCTCTCTCTCTCGTCTGGAGGCCTGTGTCTCTCTCTCTCTCGTCTGGAGGCCTGTGTCTCTCTCTCTCTCGTCTGGAGGCCTGTGTCTCTCTCTCTCTCGTCTGGAGGTCTGTGTCTCTCTCTCTCTCTCGTCTGGAGGTCTGGAGGTCTGTGTCTCTCTCTCTCTCTGTCAGTCTGTGTCTCTCTCTCTCTCTCTCTCTGTCAGTCTGTGTCTCTCTCTCTCTCGTCTGGAGGTCTGCCAGTGCAGCTCTGGATGGAGATCTGGATTTGGCTCCTTTAACTACATTCATTTTTCCACTTGATTTTGTGGCATTCAGGGTCGGCGGGATCGGGCTGTTCCTGGTGCTGAAAATAATGAAAATAATTTGTAACTACCTTGTTTTCTTGATAGTTGCACAAAGTGGAAATTGCATTGTTGAGAGAGAACAAAAAACACACATAAGTCGCATTGGCATATAAAGGAGTAGTTCACTCAAATAAATGAGAATGTGCTTTAAATGTTCTCAGCCTCAGGTCATCCAAGATTAGGATGAGTTTGTTTCTTCATCCGATTTGTATGAGTTTCTTTCTTCTGTTGAGCACAAAAAGAAGATATTTTGAAGAATGTTGGAAACCAAACAGTTGACGGTAGCCATCCACTTACATAGTGTTTTTTTTTCATACTATGGAAGTCAGTGGAGACCATCAACTGTTTGGTTCTTCAAAATATCTCCTTCTGAAGAAAGAAACTCGTGTAGGTTTGAGGATGAGTGATGTCAGAATGTGTGTTTTTGGGTGCACTGTATCTTGAATGGCTATGATGAGTCGTGTGTTGATGTTTTCTGTGTGTTTCTCTGCTCACAGGTGGGAGTTTACCCAAACCGCAGGTGAAGACGGCCTCGCTGGGTCAGGCTGGGAAGGCCCGCTCTCCATTACTGCCTGTTTCAGTGCCGACTGCTCCGGAGACGACTGAAGACGGACAGAAGCAGACAGGACACACACACACGCACACACACACATGCACACACACACAGGACACACACACTCACAGACAGGACACACTCACACACAGGACACACACACAGGACACACACACACTCACACACACACACACACACACACGCACATGCACACACACACACAGGACACACACACTCACAGACAGGACACACTCACACACAGAACACACACAGGACACACACACAGAACACACACAGGACACATACACAGGACACACCAACACTCACACTCACACACACACACACACACACACGCACATGCACACACACAGGACACACACACTCACACACAGGACACATACACAGGACACACACACACACTCACACACACACACCGATCCAGATCTCCTCATCAAACACTCGCTTCAGTCTCTCAGAGCACTTTGGACTCTGCGGGGAGTCGCTTTAAATCTCGGCCGTAAGCTGAACGCTTAACAACTGATGCAAATTATTTCCATAAAACCTCAAGCAACAATTTGGCTCGTTTTCCTTCTCTAAAAAAAGAATGATTGATGCTTCTGTGATTCAAAAGCCTATCCTGATTTTTCCTCTGCTTTATCGGGTGTAGTTATTAATATTTTGTGAAGATTTGCAGATGAGAGCGCAGACAGTGTTCAACTATTGATGTCACAATAACAAGAGAACGTGGGAAGTTTGTGCTCGGGGTTTGATTTGGCCTCAGACGACTCGCTTTTCTAGTTTATGAGCGAGAGATGGAAAGGTCAGGAGACTCTGTCCATCTAACACGGATCTGTGTAATTGGAATGGCCTTTACTCGTCAGAGATGAAGCAGATAAACAAACTGACAGTGATCGGACACTTCAGCGCAGCCCGAGTGAGAGAGTTTACCGGTAATACCGCGGTAGATATATTTATGCAAGAGACAGTTACACGATTGGCATGTTACAAATGCATTTCCTGGTTTTATTAAAGCAGGGATTCACAGACTTTGTTATCAGCCAAAGCAAAGGCCTTTGAACTAAATCATGGAATAATTGAATTCAGAATTTAAAAAAAAAAATTATTTGAAGTTAATATTTCCGTAATCTTAGACATTTGCGTGTTCATGGTAGTTTTGAGTTTAATTTTAAAGTTTTAGAAATTGTGTGTGTGTTTTTGTCATTTTAATTAGGTTTTATATGTGTGTGTGCGTGCGTGCATGCGTGTGCGTGCGAGCGAGTGTGTGTGTGTGTGTGTGTATATATAGACAATTTTTAATAATAATAATATAATAAAAATGAATAACACAACAAAATTACTAAAACTATCTAAAATGAAAATAAAATAAAATTTAAAAATAAAAACTATAACAGTATATTAATGATATAAAAATATCTCAAGCGTCAGTAAATATAAGGACAAGATATGGATTATAAAATATCACATCCTCATATATTTTGAATGTCCTCGGATGAATAAATGATGAATTGTGCACAACTACAGTAGAAATGAGAACTGCTCTTCAGTCTGTAGTTCCGCGTGGGTTTGTGTTGCATGTGTGTAAAGTCAGATATTGGTCTGCCAGAGCGTTTAAAGCAAACAATCTCTTCCTGACGAGTGTTTCTGGACTCGTGACGATAGATCAGCTAACAGCACTTCGACTGATGCTTGAGTGTTTTCACACGGATGTCTGATGTTATAGATGGAGCTCAAAACATCAGGAACAGCACTGGGATGTGCATGCAATAACCTCACTAACTGTTTGCATGGATCCTCTCAATATCGCAGTGACCTTTCCCAAACCAGGTTAAAGTTTCTTCTGCTCTTGTGCTCCGCAGGTGTACGAGCAGGACGATCTGAGCGAGCAGATGGCCAGTCTGGAAGGTCTGATGAAGCAACTCAATGCCATCACGGGTTCGGCTTTTTAACGCTGACGCAGAGGACTCTCTCTGACTCACCTGAAGCCCTCAAACGGGATTATAACGGGAAAATGACTCCGAACCGAATCTCCGCGCTGGAGAAGAAGCGTCTCTTTTCTAACACTGTCTGAGATTTTATACTGGTTTACGTACGATCTGAACGCAGATCCATCAGGAGGAAGACTGTGAGGATTCCTGAGCTTCATCTACTGACGGAAACCTTTCCCATGGGATTATTAGCGAGTCATCTCAAACACGACCGAGTTGCCAAAATGCACATTTTCACTGACATCTTGCCAATCTATTGCTGCCAAAATCCCTTGAATACACTTCACTAGGGAACTGTATGTTCACACTAGAAAGCGGACGGATGAAGCCGAGAAGATCGGATCATTTTGATCACGCAGCACTGATTTTTATTGCTGATTGTTTGCTGTGTCTCTTTGTGAATCTCATATTGGTTTATTATTTGACTGTAGAGGAACTGTAAACCCCTGCGGTGTGCTCTTGAGTTCACTTTATGCATTTCATCTCCATCCAGGGATAAATTAACCACTTGTGCTGCCAAAAATGATTTTCTTCCTCAGTATTTTTGCCTTGTTTTCCGGTAAAAATATCTAAATGTTCTTAAATCAAGATACATTTATTTGAGAAGCAAAATGGCATCAGATAACAAGTCTTCTTTTCTGATAAAGGTATAACAATAAAGTGTTTACTCTGAAAACTTGAAAAAAAAAGGGGAAAAAATATATTTTTCTGAACCCGTCGGCAGATTTTTTTCTTGTTTTAAGCATAATTTTTTTTTTTTTAGAAATAAGACTTTTGTTTCTCTAGTAAATGTCCCATGCACCAAAAAAAATAAATAAAAACTTTTTCAGTATATTTTAAAATATACAAAAATAGGCCAAAAAGTATATTTGCTAAAATATATTTACTGTCTGTAAATAGATTTTTTTGGTGTATTTTTGAAAATATATTTTAAATATATTTTTTAAAAGCATAAAAATTAGTTTGACCCTTCAGATATTTTCAATCATAGAAAATGCATTCACATTTCACACTTAAAATGATTTGTTGTCTATAACACATGTGAACATTTGATCAAAAAATGTAGCTACTGTAAGATTCTAAATGTATCTTCTTGACCCTGAAATACATATTTGGTATATGATGGTTGAATATAAATATATTTTCAATATTTTCTTTATTGTTTACTAAATATATTTTGTTTTTACTTTTTTTATTTTGGAAAGTTGCTATATCTGTACTGGAAAGCAAGTCAAAAACACTGAAGAAGAACTTGTTTTTTTGGTCTTGGCTTGGTTTTGCTGTGACCGTGATCAGTCAGTCGGCGGAGGGTAAAAAAAGGAGAACAAACATGGCAGAAGAGTGAATTAATTTGTCAAATAATGTTAATGTGACCGCTTTGAGACATTTCATGCGTCTCACACCATCAGCTTTTCCGTTCATCTCTTTTTTTTAATGTCAGGAAGACTTTTTATGTGCCTATATATATTTTTGGTCACTTTATTAATTTGCTGTGCTGCGAGACAAAAGATGGATGATGAATGGAGGATGAAATGCATCCCTATATTTGATATTTTTCTGCAGATCCTGGAGCGGCACGCTGTTTTTACTGTACAGACGCAGCGAGCGACTGATGGACTGATCGCTGTGGCGCTGGGTTTCTACGATATATTTAACATATGATTTAGATAGTTCCTTTCACAGTAATTTATGAAGACGATGTGATTAATTCTAGAGCTTTTATTTAGCCCATTAGGAGAATAAAGGAGGAGGAATTCTGGGACGGATTTTCACTGTTTCTGAAGGAAGATATTTTGCTTCAGCATCATAACACGCCTTCGGTTGTCTGACGTTTTCTGTGTGTCGCGTTAAATGTGATCGACAACATTCCTGACGTTTGGATTCTGAAGCATGGAGTTTGTGTGGATGTGCAGTCGCTCTCGTTCCCTCACAGTCTGTTCATCTTTCTCACAGTGAAGATTCACAGATCCTGCTACCAGAAAATAATGTCATTCATTTCAAAAACAAACAGAGAATCCTCTCGCAGCTCTTTTCTACATCTGAAATCGTAATTGTTACTTTGTAATCTCTCAAAACTCCGACTTTGTTCTTGCTTGTTTTCAGAAGTGCAAGATAAAAAGTCTGAATTGTGAGAAGAAAAAAAGTCTGAATTGACAAAAAAGTTTTGGGGGAAAAGGTCAGAAGTGTGACATAAGAAGTTACAGTAACACTTTCTATGAAGCCCATATTTATAATACATTATAAAAACCTTATAATATGTTATATCATCTTATAAATAATCATAACAACAATTATAATACATTATAATGCTTACGCATTTGTGGTTATAACTTTTAAGATTATGATTATTTATAACACACAATGAAAACCATATTAATTGTGTTCACACATTACACATTCATCTTATGGCTGTTTGAGAAAAAAAATTATTATTATTATTATTATTACTATACTTGTAATTGGTCTTTGATTGCTTTAAGTAAAGTAGCATAACAAAGATGGCAAGATATGGGACTTATAATACATTATAACTATGAGAAATATCATCTATTGTAACTTAAGTGGATGCAACATGTTCACTGTGTTATAAATCATCATACTCTTAAAAAGCTATAACCACAAATGACTAAATATTATAATACATTAAAACGGTTCTTATGAGTATTCATAAGATGATATAACATTTAAGTTTTTTTTTTATTATGCATTATGCATTCATTATAATGCCTTAAGAATACCCTTATAATGTATTATAAATATGGGCTTCATAGAAAGTGTTACCAAAGTTACAATTAACTTTTTTAACATTACATGGCAGGGGAAAAACAGAATTATAAAGAGATATAAACTCAGAATTGCAATAAAAAAGTAAAAATTCTGAGTTTATATATCTTGCTATTCTGACTTTATTTCTCAGAATTATGAGTTAATTTCTCACAATTTTAAGTTGATATCTTACTATTGTGACTTTTTTCCTCATAATTGCAAGTCAGAATTCTGAATTCTAACCAATTCTGACTTAATATCTAAAGTTTGACATAATATCTCGCAATTCTAAGTCTATATCTTGCAATCCTGAGAAAAAAAGGTCAGAATTGTGAGATGTGAACTTTATATATTCTGACTTTTTTCTCATAATTGCAGTAGAACTGAGCGGCGCTGGCATTGTTTGTGTCGTACGGGGTTGAACAGCATTCATTTTCCAGAGAACTCTTCCTGTAATTCAGCAGTGCTGGGGCTGATGTGAGTTTATATATTTTGCTATTCTGACTTTATTTCTCAGAATTATGAGTTAATTTCTCACAATTCTAAGTCTATATCTTGCAATCCTGAGAAAAAAAGGTCAGAATTGTGAGATGTGAACTTTATATATTCTGACTTTTTTCTCATAATTGCAGTAGAACTGAGCGGCGCTGGCATTGTTTGTGTCGTACGGGGTTGAACAGCATTCATTTTCCAGAGAACTCTTCCTGTAATTCAGCAGTGCTGGGGCTGATGGGATTGATCCCTGATCAGCTGATCATTGGTGTGTCTCAGAATCACCTTCATGCAGTGACTAATTAGTCGTGTTAATGATAGAATCAGAAGGCAGCGTTGAGGAACATGAGCAGGCTTGTTAGACGTTCTCTGCTCGCGAGAGGAGGAATCATTCTTATGTGTATTTGACTTCATCCTTAAATTGTCCAATGTTAGCATCGTTAACCAAATTAGAGTAGTGGTTGAGATCTGAAATGCGGTTTTCCAGCCGCTGCCGAGTCGAACCCTCCGGCTGTTTCTACCCATGACGTTGTATACGATTACTGGTTTTGTAATGCACTGTAGAACAGTCCAATGTTCCTTTTTATATAGAAATGTTATTTGAATGGTGCATTCTTTTTGTTTGATAAATAAAGCCTTTGATAATAAACCGTGTCTGTGTTCGATTCTGTTTGCGGGATTGCAATAGTGTGATTGGGTAACCGCTGCAGAAAAGCTTTTTACATCTCCTCTCAAAAAGTCCTGAAGGGTTTAAGCACAGCCTGATTGACCACACAGATAGATGTGTACAGATTAATAAACTGATATGATGGAGATGTTAGTGAGTTATCTATCTATATACAGTGGGGCAAAAAAGTATTTAGTCAGCCACCAATTGTGCAAGTTCTCCCACTTAAAAAGATGAGAGAGGCCTGTAATTTTCATCATAGGTATACCTCAACTATGAGAGACAAAATGAGAAAAAAAAATCCAGAAAATCACATTGTAGGATTTTTAGTCATCTAGGTAGCTAGCTAGCCATCTGTCATTAGTTATATCTATTTATCTCTCTATCCATCTATCGTTAGTTAGTTAGTTAGTAGGTTAGTCCTATCTATCTGTCGTTAGTTCTATCTAACTATCAATCGTTAGTTAGTAGGTTAGTCCTATCTAGCTATCTGTCTGTCTGTCTGTCTATCGTTAGTTAGTTAGCTAGTAGGTTAGTCTTATCTATCTGTCGTTAGTTAGTAGGTTAGTTCTATCCACCTAATTATAGTTAGTTAGTTAGTTAGTTAGTAGGTTAGTCCTATCTATCTCACTGCGGGTGAAACCTTTGAGATTTGGGTCTATTGTACTTCCATAACATGTCTTCTTTCAGACCAGTGGAAAGAAAGCATCCAAAATACATATTGAAGTGTTCATTTTATTGCACTTTATCTGCATCTATAGATTTCAATTCCAAACAATATGTTTAGTTTTTTTCTCTTACACACACCAATCATTAGTTTTATTCCTCTCTATATTATGAAGGTTTGTTCATATTTCATTTACACTGATTTAAACAACATTTTTCAACTGAAAACGTGGTGAAAATGTGTTTATTTTCTGTCTGTTGACAGTATTTTCTGATTATTTTCTGATTGAGTGATGCAAAGAGAAATCTAGAATGCCCTCTGGAAAAACCTTTAACTCAAATATGACAACAAAATCAAACCTGGCTTTATCTAATGTTCAGACTGGTTGCAAATATGAATATAAATTATTGGAAATATATGCAAATTAGTGCATATTTAATTAGAGAATTTCTCATTTGCATAAACATAACAATTTCGAAAACTTGAAATTG